AATTTTTATCACGATTTTCTGGTTTTACATACATTTTTACGTGACATCGTTACTATTAAAAATCACGAATGGATAGGAAACCGTCATCGTGTTTAGTTAAATAATTTCGCTGCTCATAGTTTAGTGCCAACCAAATTGTATATTTCAGTGCACGATATTATTTTACGCAGGTAGTCGACGCCTGCGAGAATAATAGAAAATAAGAAATATCTAACAAAAATCTAAAAGAATTTTTTCGAAACAGACACGTTTTTCAATATTAATCATTGTTCGTTTGCAAAGTATAACTCTAAGTCAAAACTGGTTCATATTATGAAGTATAAGTTTCAGAGGTTACTATAAAACGCTGCTCAGACGTTTTATTTTCTTGGAATGTCATCCATCGTAAGTACGCGTTATATTTTTCAGGCCATACGTAGAATATGATATAGAATATTATTGGGATCCGTTTCGTCTAAAAATAAATGTGTAATATTTGTTCTCTATAACACTTATCGATATATTTTGTTCACTRTWTTTTTTTTAAAGTTTTTTTATTTTATGCTTTGCACGAGTTATAAGGACTTATAAGTTTTATAAGAATTTAAACTCATTACTCGTGTATATTCATCTGGCCGMCATTGTTCAAAGAGAAGATTTTTGTTTAAATTCTTTATATTAAATTATTAATTTAGTATATTATAATATTATTTCTAATTATTTAATATTAGGTTTTCGTTGCAGTGTACTTTTTATTTCCTTGTGTCTAGCTATGAATACATTGATTATTTTGTGTTTCTATGCATCAACAAATTTAAATAAAGACATTCTAAATATAGAGTGGATCTCTATTATAATAGTATGGTCATGGCTTACCTCACCAACCAATCATTATTCCGATACATAAAACACGAAGACTAACGATCATAATCTTTAATTATATTCAAGAATAATCATGCACTTTCTTTATTTAAAATTATTGATATTTTATTATTATTATACACGAATTTCGTGAGTAAAATCAGGATTCACATGGTTTGTCAATACTAAATATTGATTATTTTCATTTAGATAATGAAACATTAAAAATACATAATATGAAAGATTTACTTGTGGTATTAAAAATWAATTATTCTTATATTTAACCTGCCATTGGTACTAAAATAATTCACATAGAAAAAAAAAATAGAAATATAAAATCGGTTATGTTTAAATTATGTATATACTCTACGGTATTAACTAGGTATTAATATAGAATATAGGTATGTAAATAGTTTATAAGTTACATGATGATAATAATATCGTGTATTTTGGCGAATATAAGTAGAAAAAAGGAAGTACATCGATATCATATAATATCAATAGGCCACCTACGAGCATTATTGGCTAGTTTGATTTATTTAAATTATTATTATAACCGTACAATAAGTTGCTGTATATTGTTAAATCGTAAGTATTATTCATAATCATTGTTGTATTATTATTACTATTATTATTATTATAAAATAGTGTTATTATTGCGTACTATWTGTAGTGCATCACGTAAGCTATAGGTATAAATAAATTGATTTTTTCACTTCAATTGAAAACGTGGTGTATTACGAATAGGCGCGAATAAAAACCGTTTYGTGTATGAGAATAGACGATTATTATTACTATTTTTTATCATTATTTCAATAGGTACCTACATTGTTACAGTAATGTCGGCAATCCGATGTAAGTAATTGAATGGACGGAAAATATTTTTGCGAGAAATTCAGACCCTATGACAGCACTGTGTATTCGTCGTTGTTACGCGTAAAGGCAGTCGTATTATAATAGTAGTCTTCGTTTTCAAACGGAGAAATCGAGAAAATACTGAAGCCGATCAGTTTTTTAAGTGGTAATTAGTAAATAACACAATATACCATTAGCTTCCGTAATAATATTATATACGCTGCAGTGCAGTCATATTGTACGTACCAATTGCGTTGTGAATGAAACTGGACTGTCCAGTGTCGTGTTGAGAATTTCTCTGTTCGGGATTTGAAAAATGGCCGTGTAGGTTGTATAGTGAGTATACGCGATGGAGACGAAATACAAATGTAYAATATTTACGATGATTCGTACATKTAAAATATCAACATCGTTTTTAATCGTTAGGTTAGGTATCTTTTATTGTCTTTAACGTATCGAAATCTTTTTTTTATTTTTACTYGAATATAATATGATTCACGTTTTCTATTTCATCGAGATTTTGGCTTTTTGAAATTCGACGTATGCTTCGACAYGAATTATTGTACCTACCTATATGGAAAATGTCATGGTGAAATGCGGGTAGGACAATGCAGCTTTGGCGTTAGAYCAGAAAGTGTGCACATGTCGGCTGTAATAATACCTATGACAAAAATGATAATAAATTACAGCGCCATAGTTAAGTTATTATTGTTATGGTCATTATATCTTGCCTATATTGAATAGCACTCACCCTTTTTGTTGTTAAATAAATAAAGTCGATTTCACATACACTCAAATGATTTGACGATTTTCGTGCGGCCGACGATGTAGTGAAATATACGGTTGGAAATAAATTAACTTTTAAATACAGTAAGGACAGTAATAGTGATTAGTGAGGCACCTATACAATGGCAAAATACACATACCACTATACTATTATAATATTTTGTTGACATTACATTAATATTTCAATTAACTTTTATAAMGACTGGAAAATTTAATGCTGATCATAAATAAATAATAATTAAAATATGTGTCGCAAATAAATGRAAGATGCATATTATACGAAACTATTGGATGAAACAACAAAAAAATATAGAAAATTATTTTTTCTTTATAATATGTAATATAATCGATTAAAAAATGCTTGTGTTCCTAATTTATTAGAAAATAATAGTTTATAAAAGTTAAGATATTACGGTAATTTGATGAGTGGCCAAATTAACTCAATTACTTTTTTTTTACGGTTAACTAATTTACATATTTTAAAACTCAAATGCAGTTGAAATTCAATGTTAAAATAATATGTTTTAATATATTAAAAATGTGATATGTTTATTGTTTATATTATGTAAGTGTTAATAGTTCTGGTAATATCTTATTGYACCGATATCCTTATAAATGCATCATATTTATTTGGTATCATTTATTATTATAAAATKKAAGTGATGATTATATTTTTAAATAAAAATGCAACACAATTATGACTAGAATGTATTTCTAGTTGATATTTGGGCAAGTATTATAATACTTTATAGATAAAAAAATTCAAGAAAAAAAATGAAATTCAAATGAAAATTAATGACTAGGATTGTTACAATATGACGTTAGTTTTTTTAGTATTTATTTTTAGATAAAAATTAAAAACTATACAAAACCTTAAACACAGCGCAACGTTTACAATACGATATTATTACGGTGACGCCGAAGACGTTAATCGAATGATATAATATACGCGTAGCATTATAATGCTATACCATACATACATTAGGTATACGACATCGTTATGCTGTAAACGGTGGCTGAAAGTTATTGTATTCGATGTGGAAAATGATAAAAACAAAACCGAACTAACTTTTGTAGGTGCTTATAGGTATTATATTATTGCCATGTGATTTACTGCAATAAAACACACACTTAATCGATAAAACTGCACCGCGCGTGTCTATAATTTCGATCCGTCGGCTGCAYCAGCTGCGTAGGTTCTAGCCGCGTAGGTCTCTCACGCCGAGTTTGATTGGGGAAAAAAGTCAAAACTRAAATGTTATAGTGATAATATTACATGTGGTTCCGCGGACCCGAGCACGCGGTCCGGCGCGCCGTCATAGACTCGACTTGCCCATCGCGCGTGTGTGTGCGCGTGATAAAAGAGAAAGACAAGGGAAAAATAGATAGGAAATCGAAAAGCGTACGGAAAGAATTGAACGAAACAAGAAGCTTATAATATAATTATWATTATTGTACATCCGTTTCCGAACCCTATATCGGCCAAGGTTGACACAGTCCGGCCGGCGCGTCCAGACGGCGGCCCGTCCGAGTGGCGTGCGCGTACCCCCGCCCGAGTCGCCACCGCTGACTCGCATCGGCATCGCCGGCACCCCACCAACTCGGCGGCGAGCGCGGTGTCGGTGGCGGTGGCGCGCCAGTCGAATAACAGGCGGAAACGCAGTCGAATAAAAGACAACTGACTCGGCAAACGATATATCAGTGTAGTCGCTTTTGTTCAGTGGTGAAGAGGTGCACAGTAGTAAAACACTCGCACATCGCACTATATTAGTCATAATATCATATCGCAATAACGGCGATAAATAAATAAAACTCCGCACTCAAGTACAGTCGACGCATACGAAATGACGAGGAAACTTGCAATCACGTGCCTGTTCTTGGTGGCAGCACAAGTCGCATACGCACATCCGACCGCCGAAGATGCGCCGGCCGCCCACGCTGCCGACGAGGCATCCGGTCTGGAAAAGGTGTACAAGGTGATGCAGGACTGCTCCGACAAGAACATGGCCACCTGTTTGAAGATGCGAGCGTTGCAGTACGTCGACCGGGCATTGCGCAAGACCGACAGCATCGACGTGTTCGACGGGATATCACTGGTCAAGTCCGAATCCGTCGAGTCCAGCCGAGGTTTGAACGGCCGATCGCTGGCCGAGTCCGAACTCGAAGAAGCACAGCCCAAAGACGATGACGAAAAGGACGCCCAAGTCGAGAACCTCCTTTTGGACCGCGTCGCTCGTTTCCTGGAGAGCCACACACTCCAACTCAAGGTCCCGGAATCGTCCATCTCTGGCATGAGGAGATCTCTCGATGAAGGTAAAAAAGCATACATTTTCTCTCGTTTACCGTCATAAGTAACTTTAAAGTTGTACCATCGTATCATTTTAACACTAGTCAACTGGTCAGTGGTAGCCTTAATAGATTTTGAAACGGAACATTCTCGGTGCATAGATATTATTATTTTTATAACAATTGTTGATCTCCCCAAATTATAATTTATTTCAACGATTTGTTTTGAAACGTCAAATTTGTCCGCGATTACGTTATTACGTTATTATTATATTTTCGTAACGATTCGTTTGAGAAAACCGTGCTTATACATTATGCACACTATCACTCGTATGCGCMGTCTTTAATACAATAGTTATCGGTCATTATTTCAGATACGAGCCTACTTAATAAGTCAACCATTTTATAAAAAAAAACTGTATTTTAGTTTCGAATTGTATCTTTACCTCTCTCTTTCTATCTATCTTTAATCCACATGTCTCTGAGTCGCTCTCTTTTCGACGACGATCACGGGCTGCTCGTCGACGTTATCGTATAACCTTCAGGTCATCGTCGTTTGTTATAATATAATAATATATACGCGGTATATAATACACGTCATGATACGCAGACTGCAGACCCCGAGGCACCGAGCACGCGTTCCGAGTTTTCTATYTGTCATCGAGTCGAGATTTTGGCTTCGGGCCTAACTATAACTTCGGTGTATAAAACGATAGTATTATATACGAATTACACACCCGTCAAAAGGCGCATATAAAAAATTAATAATGGCCATACGCTAAATCCGTTCGGGTCGCATRCCGTCGTCCGGCGTCCGAACAAATATAACGATAATATAAATACATGTTTATGTGTGTTACGGACCCGCCGGGTGCGGCCACGCGGWCGCCGGTGGCCCGAAAACCCAAATAGTGCGCCACTAGGGGGGCCCCCGGTGGGCGTGACAGTGTCATCGCAATCGGAGAAAGCCGCACGATCCTTTCACTGGAATATAGTTTGGGTAATATTATATTGCCCAGCGGGTTCGGGACTTAAGGTTCCGACCGTTTTTGGACGGTTTTTTTTTTTTCAAGTCGTTTGGAATTTTTCTGTCCATTTACGGAGACTCCTCGACGGCTTATTTGACTGAGAATGAATTCTTACAAAATAARTTATATATCAATGATTTTTTTTTTCTTTTTTGCAGCCCGTGGCAAGAAAAAGAAGCACCARAAGATGTTGATGCCATTGTTGATGTTGTTGAAGATGAAAGCCATCGCACTCGTCCCATTGGCCATTGGTGGTCTTGCCCTGCTCGCATTCAARGCTCTCGTCGTCGGCAAGATCGCCCTCGTCTTGGCCGTCATCATGGGAATCCAAAAATTGTTGGCCAACAGCAAGAGTCAACAATCGTACGAAGTAGTGTCTCACCCACACTACACCGAAGAACACGGACACGGACACAGCAGTGGATACAGACGGTCCCTGGAAGGCGAGACCGCCCAAGACATGGCGTACCGTGGTCAACACTGACTCCACCACCGCCAAGCTACCCCCGCAAACCATCCCCCTTTGTAGCGGGCTCCCTGTAGCTGTAGTATCACCCTCATCCCCTCTGCCATCACCCAACGAGGCGATATTTATTTGTAAATAGTTCGAAAAAACATTCCCCCCCATAGGAACGAAATAATTTATTTTATTATTAATTAGTATTTTTTTTTTTTTTTATATACATCCGATCGTCTTCTTTAKCGCGCAATTCACTTGTCTTCTTTTCATCTCATACCCCAAACCACCACACTACTCTCAATTCACGACTTTTTAGTCTGCCTACGTTTACAAATTGTTTTGTTCGCAAGCTCGAATTTATATAATATATTATTATTATACTACGCGTATAATATATACTATTATATATGTACATAATATACACTTAGCTATAGCAACACAGCGTCCGTTCATCGCGTCCGCCACGTATATTATTATTATTATTATACGACATCCGTACTCCGGAGGCGACTGTACTTCGACAACGGTCAATAACGGGTTCTGCTTAATCACTTCGGGACAATGATCGCACACAACACATAACAACAACGTTTTACTACCATATACACAACTATATATAAAAATATACGATTATTATTTACCCCGGGCGGTCGGTTAAAAATACAGAAGTTAACCTAGTGACACACACACGCCGCATATGTGTGTGCGTGTGTGCGCCGCTCGTGTGACGATATAGGTCGGCCGGAGGAGAAGAAAAATAAGAAGAAGAATTATTACAAAAAAAGAATAAATAACTATTTCCGTAACTGGTTTCATCTATAAGACACGAATAGAAATTGTTAGAAATCTATTCTTTCTATACCTATATTAATCACGATCTCCACTACCATCGTACTGTAATAACGATAACCGCGATCATACACACTTACTAACTGCTGCGTTACAACTTTGACCTTATCCGCGAGACGACACCGACCGATAACTGAAGAAATACCTACCTCTATATTATATACACGTTTGGGAATAGTATTTTCTTCTTTCACAATATGTTATACCTGATAACACACACACACACACACACACACACTCACTCACTCACTCACTAATAACTTGTACAATGACTTACTACTTATCCGCTGTATAGATCTTTCCGATCGTTCAAAGCCGTACCTACAATTTTTACTGCTATCCAAATACTACGCTTTTTTCTTGACCGGAAATATTATAAATGTTGCTCACAAACCATAATACATTATTGTATGATTTATATTATTTTATATTGTTTAACATTGTGTCATGTTTTTATACCATTTTTTATATTTTACTTTTTGTGTGTACATCGAAGACTACCTTATTTATTACGTATTTTAATAAAATCGATTTGTTTGTAATAAAAATMCATTTCTTTTTTTTCTAAGCTCGGCGACTCGGCTTGACTAGACTAAACTAGACTCRACTTGACTTGACTCGATTKAATTCGATTTTACTTAACTATAATACTTGACATACCTAACTTACTCTAATGTGCCATCGTTCACCTCCACTCAAATAACGTCATAATAAGCATAGTACTTTTATGATTCACTTGAAGAAATACACAAATGATACCGACTGTTATTAATTTATTTGACTTTTAATTATTATTTTTTAATTTWATTTTATTTGATGAAATAAACTTATTGATTTTTAAATCGATTCTCATTTTTTTCTCCATTACATTGCATTGTTTTAACTCCTATCAAACTCTGCGCCCAAAAGTGCTTAAGGTCTACACTACGAGTTAGTGTGTTACACCAACAAATATTGTATAGTTTATACGGTTTTTAGATCAATGGTGAAAAAATAAAACTTGATGTGGTTAGGAAGAGTAACCACGCACTCGACTTGTTTTCCAAAAAACCGGTTTGGCGTTCGCCGTCATGCTAATGAATTAATAAACTTGTAATTTTTTTTTTTTATCAATGGACAAACACAAATTTTTATTACGAGCATTAAGTATTAACACTAATTGAAATATCTAAGTGATACTTCACCCATATCACTGTTTATATGATATGTAATATTATAAATAGTTGGGGCTGTATTCCTTTAAAACTCCTTTCCCATTTACAAAAAAAAAGAAATCTGATTGCGGTAAAATAAAATCGTGTTGTRSTGCGTATAACTCTTAAACTCATTGTACACACACGCACACACACACACACACACAAGATATAAGATCGTAGTCGTGTGTTTTTGATAAATTCATCGTGTGAATCACAGCTACAGCTTACCATTGACGAGATATACTACACGAATTTCTGTTTATTTAACCACATTTCTATTAACATATAAAACGTAAAGTGTGGATAAGAGTCATCGTGTGCWACGATACTAAAATAAAATACTACAGATTGTACTACAACTCTCTATTGAATCCCTTCACTTTTTGATGTTTTTTAATTGCCGTTCTATTTGTAAAACGTAATTTATGTGGCGGAATAATTTGAGTTTTGGTATAAAAAGTTCTTCTCCGTTTTAATTGTACAAACGAGTTGGGCACATTATTATTAACAACGGCCATTGTATGCGTTAGAAATGAAAGTCGGGTTTCCAAGAAAAGGATACAGCTGGCTCGAATGAATAAATTGACCATCGTCTAACACGCATCGATAATATATTATTTTAAATACTTTTTAAATAACGAAATTCCTCGGCTTTAGATCGTATCATTTCGTTGATTCGTGCAACCTATAGTGAAAACCTACTGTTACGGACAGTAAATCTGAATTTAATATAAAATCTACGCACAACTGTACGAATAAGACCTATATACATTTGTGTTATTAGAATAACTATCTTCAGGTAGGTAGTTAATAAAATAATATTAGGTACTATTGTGCTGGTCACTTAAACAGCCTAGTACCTAAATCCAATTCTAGCTTGAAAACGTTCGATATGCTCATTAAATAAAAACAATACAACAGCGTCACGTGTCATTTATATTTCATAATATTATTATTATTAGAAGAAAACTTTTGTAATGTTAAATGCGAGTGTTTTCCCGCACCGAACCGAAGAAACTGCAGATTTCTAAAGCATATTTTATATTCAAGAAAGATTTATTTCAGATTGACATAATATTCTGATTATCTGAAATCTATCGGTTTTTTTTTTTTGTTTTTGATTTTTAAAGTACGACTTTAGTATAGTCGAAACGCGTCCAAACTCGTGAAACGTAGTATAATAGTTATAAATAGTCATCGTTCCTACAAGCACGGCGGCCACAATTTCTAAGCGCCGTTTYCATTTCTTCTGAGATAATTACAGACCCTGTGATTTAGAAAGTGTGTGATCATTGATCAATCTCACTGTTACGAGAAGAAAAATCTAAATCATTCGACAAAAACAGCCGGTAGGTGGGAGCACGTGCAAGTTAGTACCTGTCCTACGTAATAATATATATACCGTGTAGGTATGTGGTATATATCTGCTGCAGACGTTAACCTCGACTTTGTACGACTGCACGGCCGCTTTGTGGCAAGGATTAATATACTATTACTAGATCGGACTAAATCTGTTCGTAATACTATAATTTATATATGCGCCGATGGTAAACGATTGATTTTATTCCGGCACATTCGGTTAAGGAGAGGAAATAATAAAATCAAAACCTGTCTATGAGACCCCAAAAYGGTCGCCGACCAGAATAATATATTATTTTAAAGCCAGCAGCACCTTTTAAACTACGCGATAGTAATAAAAATAATAATATTATAATGTATTTAGCATATGCATTACGACAAACGCAATTTTCTTTTATAATAAATAATATTATATTTACTGCCATATATATGTAAGCTGCACGTGCTATCGGATGCTGTATAATATACGTATTCTCCTCTTAGTCCTGTTGCATTATCAGCGATTCTTCGTAGGTAGGTACAACAGGTCCTTAAACTTACGTTGTCCAACGCCCGGTAAAAAATAATAATGCTCTTAAATATTATTTAAGACAGTCCTGTCTGAAACGGTAATATTATTATTATTATTATTATCATAGATGATTTTTATATATCGATGGAAATCGATTCGCCGTGAAAATATCCCCAGAAAAACTATCGCTTAGGAAAAAATTAATATCTACGATGTGGATAATACGAGGCAGAAGGTCAGACGATGAGCTYGCAGGATATAAGACTTCAATGCAACAATTATGATTGAGTTTGCTGCGGGTTATTCGCTGGCTTTTGGGGTACCAAAAATATTACAATATTTAATGTAACTCATCGTACTTTCAACACATTTTACAATAAACACTATAGCAGAGACGAAAGAAATCGTTTAATTAAGTTGGTCGATCTTTAATAAAGATGAGTAGACACTTAACTGTTGTGTACTGAAATTAAAAATTTTTAAATATTTTATGAATACATAGAGTTTATGCGGTAGATGGGTCAAATTAATTTTTGTATATTTATACTTTAGATTTTTTTCCYCTCAAAATGCTAAAAAGACAATGATGTCGTAATACTTGTAACCTCTTATCTAAATAAAAATGCATCGCTCCACCAATGATTTTTACTACTTATAACTATTATACGTCTATTATTGTACTATTATTATTATTTTAGGATTGATACATTGAATTTATATTCACACGTTGAAGCACCTCTGATGGGAGGCCTCTTTCCTCTTCTGTATTTTTTGTTTTTATTTATTATCACTTAAACTTTTTGTTTAATAAATGTAACAGATGGCTTAATATGGGATTTTACTTAAAAAAAGTTTTTTTTCTCTTTTCACTTTTTGCGTTATTACAGATAATAATGATATATCATGTAGACTACATTGTAGCTAGAAAGAACAATAATAATAAATAATATTATTGTATTTTACCGTTAATGTAATATTACCTATTATAAAATCTTCGTAAAACGCTTTTTCTCGTTGAACGTACGCCCACCCTTCGCTCTCGGCGCAGTGAACCATAATACTAACGTACCTATAACGTATGCAATATGGATACACGCAATATCGCGTGGGTACCTGTTGTACACAGACGATCATCGGGTAAAAGCGAAACAGTCGGATGCACTTGAAAGGAAAAACTCGGAAACTTTCTTCGGTATTACAATAATATTATTCWCTCGTCGTCATACCCGTTAACTCGGATGCGGTGGAGGCGGTGCGTGCTATGACGGYGATATTATWCATTATCATTATTATATATCCTCGGAAACACGGTAATAATATTATTGTAATATCGGTATGACGAGCATAATATACTTACGCGATTTGCTGGCCTACTGCCCACTGTACCGGTGTGAGTAGTAGCGATCGCAGTCCTCTGCTGCAGATATCTGTCTAGTCCCGTCGAATCGTCATCGGTATTAATGAATAATAATTATTAAAGTATACAGCCCAGAGCTAGCGACGGTGGCGACGTCACTGCTACACCAACGCATAATAATATTATAACTATACCGTCCGCGTTCATATTAGTTTTATCGGTAAAATACGTATACTTTTGTGGAAATCGAACAAATCGTTCMAAAGTCGGMGACTATGACCATATTTGGCGTTTATCTGGCCCCGCTGATGATTTTTGTCGGCTGCGGTCAGTGCGTTCTCTTTTCCAACGGGCAGTCCTCCGGTGGCCCGGACGCCGATGGAGGCGTCCACGTTGGAGGCAGTGTCGGCGACGGCAGCGGTGAAGTTAGCGAAGACGACTACCAAAGCCTGCAGCACACCCCTACGATAAGCACGGCGGTCAAAAGCTGCTTGGCTGGGGCCGACCCGTTCCTGCCATGCATCAACGAGCAAGCCATGGCCGCCATCGAACAGACGGAATCCATGGATTCGGTGCTCCTTGATTCGGGACTGGAGATTTCAAGACGTCCCAGCACAGAAGCGTTTGCCGCTCCTCGAGGAGTCTATTCTTTGGGTAAGCCTGCCCACTGCCTCTGAGTGCCGACCCGCCGAATCTATATACGATATACCCTCTCTCGCCGCCAATATCCTTCTTAATCATCCCCGTCACGAAAGCTCCCGTTAGGAATCTTAAATGGGAAATATAAAGAATCCAAACCTCGACACTCTCGTTTTGTGTTATTAAATTCACTTGAAAATTGTATCAAATCGATTTCGTCGAGGGCTTATCTAAACGACCAGTCGCCCACGTTTGTAAATTTTTGACACAAATCCTGCGTATCGCACAATCTTCGTGTCCGTTCAAAAGTATTCGTACAGTAAAAAATCATACTATAATAACTACCACTGATCGTTCATGGATAATATACTACCAACACATTTTTATTTACGTCTGTGTGTTTTGATAATTTTATAAAAAAAAATTTATGTCATTGAATTCGATCGAGGTGGATTCCAAAATATGTTTGACGAATAGGTGGCATCGCTACAAGAATTTTACGCACACACATAATATTATTATAATATGATTGCAATAAATATTGAATATATACTTTAATAATAGAAATATTTATAAACAACTTTTTTATTTAATTTTAGACAAAATCAAAATTGATTAATTTGATTTTGATTTCATCATAATATTTTAATACCTAGGTGYGTCGATTTGAGAAAGTATTCAATTAAATATTATAATATCATGTGTTAAGTGTTCATTTTCGATGAGATAACAAAAAAAAACTTTTTATGGGGTACATTTCGATTATTATTTTATCTTCCGAAGAGGTATACCTCATAAAATTGTAGTCGCCACGGACACCGCCCTCGGGCSTTGACCGCTATGAACGTTTCGAAGGTTGCAATAAGTTGTTGAGATAATTAATAATTACATACACTGTCGTGTTTTAGAAACCCATCTCGGTAAAGGGGCTATTTTTACCGTTTTAATGTTTTCCAAAATACATATTTTACGGTGCGCACACGCCTAAAATGTATTTGTTATAGTATTTATTATTAGACCTGTCGAGGCTAACGTACATGACTGTACCATATCTAACTGGTATTAGTTATTACTTTTCTTGAACCTGAAATACTACGTATTATTATTTATAATTTACTGGTTTTATTTTAGACACGACACGACATGTACAATGCATCTTTCGTTTTTCTCAGTAAAAACCTCACACGTATGTTTACAATATTTATTAAATCAAACTATTTGTAGATCATTTTCTCAACTGAATAACTTAATGAGTAGGTTACAACCTAACGTAGTACGTACATACGGAATATATATTTTGAATTATATATGATATTTAACAGTGCAACAGGGGATAGGAGCACTCTACCCTCCACCCACTAAACTAACAATTGTTAGTATTGACTATTGACTTCAAAATGTTTTTTTTTCTTGCTCTAGTGTTACAGACAAATACATTTTTACAAGAAATGAAAAAAATCTGGTCTGAGAATAGGGTTGGTTGTACGTATTTTGAGTAGACCATTTATTTTTTTTGGCTTTCACGAATTACCTCTCATCTGAGTATATCTGACCCACAAATTGTTTCCAGTGATTTTTTTTTAAGTTTACTGAAATAGCCCAGTATARCCTACTATAGCTATATTAAATAGATTTCTAACCCTGCATTATAAAAAATTATTAATAAATTAATTTAATTCAGTTAATTCAGTTAATTTTGATTGATTAAATGTTATTTTTTGTGGTTAAAACAATTGTTTTGGTTCTCATTTTGGAAAATCTAATTAGTATTACTATACGTAGCTGAATTGATTTTAATACATACAGCAATAATATTATGAGGGTGAGTTGATGAAACATAAGAACTCACAATAGAATGACTCACAAGCATAACAGACCTTTGTGCACTGGATGTAATTTTATCCCACAATTTTGGCGTGGAAAATAAATCTTCATCTATACAATTTTAACTATATTATCAGAAATAAAATTATGAAAGCAATTAGGAATCTAACACAATAAAACGGCTGATGATAAGTACTGTGTGGGGAACCCGTGCAAGATATTACAGTATAAGAATTTTGGTATGGAGGTATTGTAGCCCGTTTATCGCTTTATCGAAGATAAACCCTAGGCATCAAAAAAATGCTCTGGAGTAAACTATATAATATTATCTTAAACCGTGACGAGTAGTCAATAAAACTATAATAGTAATGCTTCGATCAGGTTTTAGAACAAAATAAAATACTACTGTAATTAACTGATTTTAAATTTTAAGCTCATAGTACGATTTAATATTATTACCTCCGCTCCACTATTAAAATGTTTAAAGCATATTTTATGACTTACAGCACATTACATTTATTGATGCATCCATACATAATATAATATAAAATATGATTTTGACATACTTTTCATTAATACACGCGTAATTATACGTATATGAAAAGGTTATAAACGAAATAAATCTACATATAATATAATATTATTATTATTTACTATCAATACTTGTCATCAAATAATTATTATGCATACAATTATAGTATGTAGACATCACTTTACAAATTCTGGTCTTTGGTCGGCGAACGAAGAAATTTTTTGAAGAACTTAGACATTTTGCCAAGTTTTGCTAGGATCCAATATATAATTTTTCCTATAATTCATATCGTGAAAGTCGTGAATAAAAATTAAATAAAATCAAATTCATAAATAATTTAGATTTATGACATTTCAAAACCATATTTCATGAATCCGTGATATGGATTGTGCACTGCATAGACTCGGTATAAATGGTAGAATAGACGATTTTTCACCGTTCTAATCTCAAAAATAATTACACTACACTACAAGTTACTTCTATCGTCTGTCAGGGTTAGTCGAGTAAGCACCATCGTTATTTATGCAATTTAAATACTCTGTACCTAATTAAATAACTAATAAGCAATGTGTTATATAACGAGTCAACGTATTTTAGAAAATATATTTATTTAAATTACATTGTGTACCTATTTGATATATCAAAGATATATCTGCCCTACCTTCAAGAAGAAAAAATTCAAAACGKTTTATCYGTCCTCAATTTGTAAAATTTTACACGAAATAATATGTGTTATCCGTGCACATAGATTAATAATAATTTATTGTAATAGTAGTACGCCGAACTAGCATCGATTTCAAGTTTAAAAT